CTTGTTGGTGTGATGTATGTTAGTACATGATTCATTGTAATGCATGTATGTATGCGAATGTTACACTAACGATCACACCTAAATGTGAATGAGTATGAACGAATGATTGTATGTCATGAATCAACACTTGATTGTATGATCATGAAAATGTACATTATGATTGTGACTTGTTGAATAGATCAAGTGTTACATTCCAACACATTAATTGGAATCGGATGTCACGTATCGACATACATTTTGTAACAAATATCACGTTCCGACACACTAACTTGGATCGGGTGTCACGATCCAGCACACTAACAATATGAGTATGGATTCCTTGAGAGGACCAGTGACTTGTGGTATATATTTATCAAAGAGAATGTGAAATTGTAAGTTGTTCATGATTGATAATCGGTATATCACTACGAAAAAATAGTGTTTACCGACAGACACAATCCGTCACTATCCAATGAAAATCCATCACTAATCATGATTAGTGATGGATTAGCAATGGATTATTGACTGTTGCTATTACGCTCGTTAGTAAGCTCTTAGTGACAACAAATGAGTTCCGTCACAAGTTTAGCGACGTCATAGTGACGAAACATTTCCGTCGCCACATGCTAGCGACGGACTTAGTCGTCATTATGTTTATATAGTTTTGTTGCTAATTTCATAATTCTAAGACGAAAAATGAGTTCCGTCACAAGTTTAGCGACGTCATAGTGACGAAACATTTTTGTCGCCACATGTTAGCGACATACTGATTCGTCATTATATTTATATAGTTTTGTTGCTAATTTCATAATTCATTTCGTCATTTTGGATAAATTTGCAATGAAACTTATTCTGTTACAACATATTAGGCCTTTAATAATTCGTCGCCAACATTCTTTTCATAGCAACAACCAAATAGTCGCTAAATTTGTTGCTAAAAATTATTCCTCTAAAATTATTTGATTTGGTTATTTTAAATATGCACTGCTGAAATAAATTAAATTAAAATTACTAAATACTCAAAAAATAACAAACAATCATATAATATAATACTCATCGATGATTCATAATATATAAATAGAAAACTCCAAAACCACATATTTTTAGTTAAAAATATCCAAAGAAACCTATCAGTACTCTTAAATGAACCTACGTTCATCAAAATGCTGCTACGCAATTTGTAGTTTCCAAAAAGTATGACATTATCAAACACTAAAGTTGTGGGAGACTAAGGGATACGATCATCACTTGAAATTGAGGGATCAACATCGTCCACGTTAGTAGCAGGAGGCACTATGGGTGTCACAATCGATGGATTGCCGGATGGAGTAATCGATGCTTGCACCTGCTCAACAATAATAGGAACAAGATGTCTAGTTAGTGCAGGCATCATTTGCTTTACAAACTCGTCCATATTTGTTATCGATGTTGATTGAGAAAATGGAGGTGGTAATGAGGATGAGCCACAAAGATTCTGCCCATAGTAATTTTTTTCTTTAGATCCAAGACCGTATATTCTTCTTTTCTTTTCTCCCCCTGCAGCTTGGAAATATGCTTCACATTGATCAATATCAGTTTGAGACACTGTGTTTTCCCATAATATTTCTTCATATTTTTCTTATAATAAGTAGAGAAAATGAGAAAGCATTAAAGATAGGGAACAAAACAAATTTTGAAGGAAAATGCAGAAAGATACATAAGCTTTTAAGCTTAAAGGACATGTCTTTTGTTTTCCCAGAAAAGAACTGTGTTGTTGCAGAAAGATGGGCTATCTGGTTTTCCATATGAATACTTAATACCTCTAGTGCCTTGTATTAGTAGATAATTGTTGCAAGGAAAATGCAATGAAAGAAGGATAGTGCAGTTTATATTAGCTGGTCTATGAAATGCTTTTTATAAGTTGTAGTAATTAACTTAGACCTACAATTTTGAACTCGTTTGAATTGTAGAATAAAGATCATACTTGAACTCATACAGAACTTCAAAACAAACTAATTTCTATTACCCAAACAGCATCAGAAACACTCAAAAATTACCCAACTGACATCAGAATTACATGATAACAACTGCACTAGATTCACACTAAAATGACATTAGAATCGCACCAACACAACACTAAAATTGCACCAGAAAAGCCTCAAACAACACATGAATTACACTGAAATAGCAGCAACGGATTCTCACTAAAACAGGACTAGAGTTGGACCAAAAACAACTGCACTAGAGCCACAGTAAAACAACACTAGAATCACACCAAAATAACACTAAAATTGCACCGGAAAAGCCTCAAAACAGCAATCGAATTACACCAAAATAGTAGCAGTAGATTCTCTCTAAAACAGAACTATAATTGCACAAAAAACAATTGCACTAGAGTCACACAAAAATGATATTAGAATCGCATCAAAACAACACTAAAATTGCATCGAACAGTCTCAAAACATCACCAGAATTATACAAAACAGCAGCAACAAATACACTTTAAAACAGGACTAAAATTGCACCAGAAACTACAGTAGAAAAGAACCGAAACACCTCCAAGTTTTAGACTTACATGGACAATTCAAGAACGCTCACCAACAAATGATTTTCCATCATGACCATGTGTATGAATGTGCAAATGTAACTCACTTGGTGTTGAATCTCGACCTTTTTCAATAGCCTATACAAAAGAAATCACGTTATATATATCATACAATAGAAGATGTTAGTTATAGAGTTTTTAAAATATAAATACTCAGAAGTTTCTTGCGATGTTCTCCAATTGAAATAGAGCCGCCCGTGTGAGTTCCAACATCAATTTCATGGCCACCACGACGATTTTTCAAATTAATTTCTAACTTCTTAATACACTCTTCACTTCCCCAAAGTTGCATCTATCTTTCCCATACATTTTCTGGTACATAACCTGGCCTTACTCTTTCCTTTTATATTTTATAAATGAAATTTTTTGTATTTCACTGCTGCCTTAACCATCCACTGTCTTTTCACTTCGTTTTCACTAATGGAAACATTACAGTAGAATTTTTTCTGAAATAAGTTTTGAAAGTAATACATTAATCTCCTATCTATATATGTGAATACACTTGTTAAACTCACTTACGATGAAAAGTTATACCTTGAATTCTCCAAAATAACCATTTCTTACATCAGTTGAGACACTTTTCCAATTGATTCCATTGTGATCAACATCACTTTTGAAAAACTTGGATATGAAACTAGAGCATATTTGTGAAGGTTCCAGCATGTATAAATTTGAAGAGGTTATTAGGAGGGCTATCATAAATTAAAAGTAATATAAGTATCTGACATTATATTTATAAGTGATAGCAGAAAGAATACTCATATTAATGATTTACAAATCTATCAATTGTTAACTATATTAGTTGAATTAAAAAACTAATATAGTGTTATCTACACAACTCATGATGTTACTCTCAACATCCAGAACTTCCGTTATACTCATTTTTTCTGGATTCAAAGACAGCAAGTGTCATCGACACAACAAGTAGCAGGATATCCTTACCTTGGATTCATTCACAACAAACGGGAAAGCTAGCAACAGTAAATTATTTATGAACAAACAAGGGAAATTTAAAGTAATTTAGCAGCGTAAATAGGCAGCTACAACTTAAACATTACTTCACTAGATTACCCAGATTTCAAAGGTAGCGCATTTAAACCAAACAATTAGATTTCAATGGTAACACATTCAACATACAAGAGGTCATGTTCTCTAGATTAAATATTATGCTTAAAGGACCAGAAGTTGGTAATGTGATAGTGAAATCCTATCCAGATATCTTCAATTTGTTCAATGTAGTAAGTAGAAACAAGTTTAGGAATAAAATCAAAAGAATGGACTAAACCCTGCAGAAGTTAGAAAGAGAAAGGTCCTTGTATGGCTATTGTTGGATTCCTCTTCAGCAACTGTATTGGTATGACCTGTTTGGTTGCTTTGAGTAGAAAGACCCTGACATATTAGGTTACTCTGATTTGATGTAGCTGGAGGTGTCTCAGAGATGGTCGTGCTGATACTTTGAGTTGACGTTTCAATATTGGTTGGGGTACCACCTTGCTGAGGAGAAACTATAGTGGGCTTGGGAATAGTTGGCATGCTTACACGAATAGCAGGATTACTCCTACCTGAGGATTTTCCACAACCTCTGCCTCGAGCCATACCTATAAACAAATATAACATTGTTGTTAGATCATGGCTATTACAAAATAAAATTAAACATAATCCATAATAATGAGATTATGTGGAACAGTGCTGAAATATTAAAACTGTCTCTGTAAGAGCTTGTTGATCAAGTGAAAAAATTGATACCTGGAAATACAAGAGTAACAAGAGTAACATATATAATTATCTATAACAAGAGTAACAATTAGTAGATTTAATTAGGAATTGAAATTAGAAATAGAACACACATAGTTCAAAGCCAAGAGCTATTTCTTTTAAAAATCCTAAATTGAAAAGCAGAAACTACAGCAGATTATCCTCGATTGAAAATTAGAAACAAACAAAATATAGTGAAAATACAATAGCAGATGATCAAGCACTAGTCACTGTCTTCTTCAAACTCCTCCTCTTCCTCATCCTCATTCTCCTCAGTTTCCTCAGTTTCATACTCTTCTTCTGTGGATTCTATGTGGATTTCATGATTCTCTTGCAATAATCCATCATCAATGGGTTCATCCATTTCAATTACATCTCCATTTGGATCATTTAAGAGTATGTTTTCATCAATGGAAACAGTCATATCTATCTGGTGGACTTCAACTTCTTCAACTTGAAATGGAACATTTATTTATGAAATTGTTGCCACTTCGTCATTAGGCAATTCAATAACATTTCGAGGTTTGACCTTCAGTACAGCTGCCCAATCATCCTTGTCCTTTTTCTTGCTAGGATAAGGTACATAACACACTTGTGTTGCTTGCATTGCAAGAATAAAATGTTCATATTTTTTATATCGACGTCGATGGTTAATATCAACCAATTTGTACTGATTGTGCCTTTAAACACCAACATCCATAGTTGGGTCAAACCATTCACATTTGAATAATACAGTTTGCTTTAAAGGTGCTTCACGATATTCCACTTGTATTATCTCTTTTATATGTCCATAATAATCACCAAAATTTGGATCCGAGATGCAAACTCCACTATTCATTGTTGATCTTGTGCTACCATGACATTCTATGTGAAATTTGTATCCATTAACAAAATACGTAGAGTAACATGTAGCATCTATTAATGGTCCACGAGCAAGACTACGCAATAATTCATTCTCAATGGGATTGCATTGGACCTATTTTTAAAAAATGTAAGACTTAGTAAAATTTAAAACTAAATTTAGGCATGTCATTGTATGAAATATAATTTCACAATATTCACAAATTCCTTGAACCATATAGAGAAATTTGCTTCAAGACTCTCGTCTATTTGACCTTGAGATAGATTCGGAAATTCTTCTTGCAAACGTTGCATGAACATACTTCATAACAACAAAATAAGTTAAATTGGAAAGTCGTGATATAGGATATGTTTATATTATTAAGAAAATAAAATTAACTTTTGTTACCTCACAAACGGCTTACTCCTCACAATTTAGTAAGATATAAGTTTGGGCAGCCTTGATTTCTTCAAGGGATAAATCCCTTTTTTTGCTTCTCCCCATAGTCAACCTGGATGGGAGAATATTGATAAATTTACTTCAATATCTTCCTTATCCCCACCATCATCATTACAGTCCACGTTATGATTACGTGTCATGACATGAGGTTCAAAATAATGAGAAAACAGTTGTGTTGACTCTGTCATCAAGTACGCTTCACAAATGGAACCCTCAACACTAGCTTTATTTCCAATCATCCTTTTAAGAGTTCCTAGATACCTAAATATATAACATGTATGGACCATTACATTAGAAGATAAAAATATATAGCATACTAGTCACGAATTTTATATAAAGTTTTACATTTACCTTTCAAAAGGGTACATCCATCGATATTGTACAGGTCCAGCTATCCTTGCTTCATATGGAAGGTGTACAGGAAGATGTTCCATCGAGTCATAGAATCCAGGAGGAAATATACGTTCTAACTTGCACAAGATTTGTGGGATGTCTCTCTCTAATCTCTCCATGTCATCAACTCGTAGAGTTGTAGAAGTAAGATCTTTGAAAAATAAGCTCAATTCTGTAAGTGCTTGCCACACATTACTAGGAAGTAGTTCGCGAAAGGCAATAGGCAACAGTCGTTGCATGAACACGTGACAATCATGACTTTTCATGCCAAATATCCTTTTTGCATTTGTGTCTGGACATCTACCCAAATTGGAAACATACCCATCTGGAAACTTTAAGCCTTTCACCCAATTGAACAAGATGTGTCTTGCTTTCTTGTCTATCGTATATACAGCTTTGGGATATTTTCCATTACTATCCTTTGCCAATTGAGGTCGATCACAATACTCTACCATATCTTGATGTGATTGTGGATTGTCTTTGGTTTTGTCATCAAAATTAAGAACTGTGTTAAACACATTATCAAAGACATTTTTTTCAATATGCATGACATCAAGATTATGTCGAATCATGTTAAATCTCCAATAAGGCAAATCCCAAAAGATGCTTCTCTCTTTCCACCCACAAGACTTACATATTCTTCGATTGACTTGTTTTGCATCTACCTCTGTTACTTTTCTTATGTCCAAATCACAAATTTGATTCAATATTTCCTCTCCTGTTCTATAGGGTGGTGGTGATCTTTGGAAAGTCTTGCCTTTAAGAAAGTTCTTAAGATCTCTCCTAAATGGGTGATGTTGGTTAAGAAACATCCGATGACAGTCAAACCAAGATGTTTTCTTACCATGGTTCAATCTAAAGAGTTGTGTTTCCTCCGTACAATAGGGACATGCTAACTTACCAGAAGTACTCCATCCTGATAACATAGAATATGCTGGAAAGTCACTGATTGTCCACATCAAAGATGCCCTTAGTTGAAAGTTTTACTTTTTTGAGATGTCAAATGCTTCCACGCCTGTCTCCCATAACAAAGTCAATTCCTTTATTAGAGGATGCAAATAAACATCAATTTTATGTTTGGGATTGTTTGGCCCCGAAACAATGACTGTTAAGAACGTATAAGCCTCTTTCATACACTTTCCTGGAGGTAAATTATAAGGTGTGACAATCACTGGCCATGAAGAGTATTTGCTCCCAGACTGATTAAATGGTTGGAAACCATCAGTACATAACCCCATCCTTACATTTCTTAGTTCATCAGCAAAAAAAGGATGAGTGTCATTGAAGTGCTTCCAAGCCTCAGAGTCTGATGGATGACGCATTACACCATCCTCTTTTGTATGCTGATGATGCCATCTCATGTTGGCAGCTATAGCATGGGATGCATACAATCTTTGCAATCTAGGAGTCAAAGGAAAATAATACATTTTCTTGTAAGGGATCAATTTCTTCTTATGAGAGCCAACACGATGTTTGTATCTATCATGGCCACAAAATGTACAAGATGTAAGGTGTTAATCACCCCAATACAACATACATCCTGATTCACAACAATCAATCTTTTCAACTGGCAAACCCAGGCTACGCACTAGCTTCTTGGTCTGATAGTAGCTATTAAGCACTATGTTATCTTCAGGTAAAGCCTCTTTCAACAATTGCATCATTTAGTTATAACCTCTCTGTGACATATTGTTCTCCATTTTAATATTTAACATTCGAGAGACATTAGCAAATTTAGAGAGGGATGAAATGGGATATAATTTTGCATCAGCTGCTTGTAGCAAATCATATAATTTTTGGGACTCGGGATTAGGATCTTCCTCCATTGAAGGTTCACAAGGATTAGACGACTCAGGTTCAAAATTGCTAAAAGATTGCCAACTTGAACATTGGGGAAAGTTAGGACCAACTACATAAAAAATCATTTGATGGTATAGATTATCATATCCGAATTCAGGTGTAGCACCACCATTCAAATCCCGATCAAAAGAAATCTCACCAATCACATCTTTTTCTCCTTGATGCTTCCAGATAAAATAGTTATCAACAAATCCAGACATATAAAAGTGATGCTTAATCGTTTCAACATCCATGAACTTAAAGTTGTGACATTTTTACATGGACATCCAACTTTATTACCGCTCATGCGATTTCTGTTGCGAAACATGCAAATTGGATAAATTTATCCACTCCAATTACGAAACTAGAATTTATAGCCCCCTCGGCCATCCAACCTATCATACATCCAACCACGCTCTAGATTATTCATGTTCCTAATAATGTTTAAAATTTACAAAAAAAATTTAGTAACAAGCACAAACCGTGGACCAAAAGGTACTCTCATTCATATTTATCAAATTCGAACAAAACATGTATATTGGCAAAACAAGAACAATTTCTAAAGTTCTTCACTATGCAGACTTTAAAAAACTTACGAACTATTAAAGCAATTATTAATTATAATCAACTTACAAAACAGTTGCTGGAACATTCTAATTTTAGTCAACTTATAGAACAATTAAAGCATTCTGATTCAAATCAACTTACTGAAGCATTCTAGTTACAGTGAACTTATTGAAACTATCTAATTACTATATTAATATCACAAAATTGATGACAAACAAAAGGGATTGAAGCATTACAGTTAATTTACAGTACAAACAACACTTTCCAGTGTGTGAAAAACTAGAGCAAAAAAAGAATTTGGAGCCAATACTATATTTCATCAGCAACAAACAGAAGCACATTACATGAAAAACTTTGTACTAAACAAGCAGTTAGCTAATAAATTTAATCTTAGAGGTTCTTGATGACTATGTAGTTGCTTTGATTTGATTTGGATAATAATTTAATCTATTGAACAAGCAGTTGCCAAAAATCTTTATTTCAAAAAGACAATTTTTAAGAAAATCACATGACTTTCCTCTATAAGTACAACAATTCCTCTAGCAAATAAAACCAAAGAAAAAGTTAAAGTCTAGAATGCATTTTTCTAGCAAATAAAACCAACAAAACAAGTTAAAATTTAGAATGTATTCCTCCAGCAAGAACTAATCACAGAAACACCCACCACAACAAAATAAGAATTCTCCAAACTTTTCACTAATCTCTTAAAAAAAGTTCTAACTCGAATAGTCTAAAGATAATGGCAACAATCTTCATCATAGTTAGATTGAGTAAACAAAATACCTCGGAACTTAAATCTTGAGCTAAATCAGAGATAGAAATGAAGAGTGAGGCTTACTTCAAGCGAATATTAACCAGACCCTGATGATGATGTGATAACAGTAGGGGCCTGCAACATTTTAAAATTTTATTACCTTGGTTATTAGCAAAAACATGGAACAATAATAATATAAATAAAAACTAAACACTTAATACAGTAAGCAATGAATCTGATTTTTGTTTTGTTTTCTGAAAAAAAGGCAAAGGAAGAGAATTTCAGCAAGCATCAGCATGAAATAATTATTCAATCTCTTCAATTAGAGAAATACTTGAAAGTTCAGAAGATTCAAGGCAACTCTCAACATGTACGTCGTACTAAAACTATTCTCAACAGGTACGTCGTACTAATATAATTTCCTTCTCTTTATTAACCTCATGACATTCCCCCATATTATTTAGGATGGAAACAAATAAAGCAATTACTACAGAGATCTTCAAGGGACTCTTGCCAAAAGTGTATCAGTGAACCAATTTCCGGGTGATAAGTAGCTCAGACTTTAGACAACAATTATATTCATGAATCCCATCTAATTAGGTAAGCCAATATAAAAAATAATTGTTTTGTTTAAAACTGACAAGGTACCATTGACGCAGCAGGAATTAATTTCTACTCTCATTGACAGTTGTGGAACCCAAAGTCAATGACCATTCCAACATTGAAATCCAAATGCTTGCTTGAACCCTAACCCCTATTTCCAGAAAACATAATTTCTAGAAAAAACCCTATTTTCGAAACACTTAAATTTCTAAAACCCCTATTTTGAGAAAATTCCAATCCTACTCTAAGAAATCAAGCTAAATGAAATGGAAAGAGTTAAGAGTTAAAATAGCATATTTTCATACACCCAAAACACTAAAATCTCTATTTTCAGAAGACGAGTTGAACTGGAAAACAATGATTTTATCAAACGAAGCCATTGATACCCAAATCCAGCGAATCTAACTTCCAAATGCAGGAACGAGTTGGGGTTTTTATTTTGCAGAAAGAAGAGTTGAAACTACCCATTTTGAAAATATCACATCCCTATTGAGATGGAGAGATAAATGAAATTGAAATCGATATGAGAGATTGAGCTTACAGTGGAGACTTGGAAAACTAGCAGTGGAGACTTGAAAAGGAGATGGAGAACTTCAATGGAGCTTGCAGCGAGACTTGGAAAGCTTCAATGGAGATGGAGCTTGAGAGAGGCTTCTTTGGAGCGGGAACTTGAAAATGTGGAAATAAATTTGTGCCCTAGAATATAATATGACTTTCAAAATATTTGCAACGGATTTACTGACGGATTCTAATATCCATCGCTTTCAACTTAATGTATTTATTTAGAAAAAATTATAATGACGGATATTTTCGTCGCTATATAAAATAAATTTTATAAAAATATATTAAAAAGTTTAGCAACATTTTTTCCGTCACTAATTCCGTTGCCCAATATTTATTAAATTTGTCACCCATACTTTGTTACTAAATCCGTAGGAAAAATTAGGCGCCAAAATTTCTCTCTAATATTTAGCGACAAAATAAATATTCCGTTGCCAATCCGTTGCTATATTATTACTCAAAAAATTATTTGTCAATTTTGCAACAAAATGGTGATTTCGTTGCAAATCTGTCGTTATATAGTGACATAATAGTGTTCGTCGCTAATATCCATCGCTAAACACTATTTTTTTAGTAGTGTATATGTATATATTATGTGCTTGTATGCGTTTACCTTGTTGTTGTGATTGCTGATATATGTTTTACTTACTGGAAAAGTCGCGTGATCCTACAGGCACACTATGGTTGTGTACTGATACTGCACTTGATCTTTCTTTGTGGAGTATAGAGCATATTTAGGCGGCTACTGACAGACCTCGTTTAGGAGATTAATGATCAATCGAATTCAAGGGTGAGGCAGTTTTTCCAGGCTGCCATGAGTTCTCCTTTTGTTCAGTCCTTCTTATTCGAATTTAGATTAGTACTCTAGATGATCATATGTTTTACCCTTCGAGGTTGTACCCCATTTTCATTAGACTTATGGTTCTTGTTAGAGTTTTGGTACATTGACTTTCAGTTTCTAGAGAATATTTTTGCATTGTTTTGATAGTCGTTGCTAGACTTTTAGAGTTTATGGGAACTCTACTTTACTTCTGCATTTAAACCTGCTTCCGTATCTTCAAATGTTTAGTTCTTGGGTTAGCTGATTAGTATTAATGGTTCTTCTACCGGAGGGTTAGTGTGGTGCTAATCATGACGGTTTGGGTAGTGACAAAGCTGGTATTAGAGCCCTAGGTTCGTTGATCTCGATATACCAAAATGAGTCTAGTAGAGTGTTGTGGAAAGGTACAGAGACGTCTGTACTTTTCTTTGAGAGGCTATAAGACTTTAGGAAATCTCTCTGTTTTCTCTTATCTCCTTTCGTGCTATAACTTGATTCAAATTGGTATCTGGTGATCTGAATTGGTATCAAACCTCTTTAACTCTTCTGTCCGTAGATGGTTAACACTAGGTTCAACGATGTCAGGCCCGTAACTCCCGTCAATGAGCCAACTGAGGAATCCACAGCGAGAGGTCGCGGTCGAGGCAGGAGTAGAGGGAGAGCAAGGGGCAGGGGCAGGGGCAGAGGAAGAGTAGCACCCTCTAGGGGTGGAGGTTCGGTTGAGAATGCTCCCATAAATGAGAATCCTCTTGCGCATCATGAAGAGATAGAGGAGAATGTAAAGGTTGAGAATGATGAGGATGTTGGACAAGAGGAAGAGGTGCAGGATGAGACTACATGTATTCATCCCTTGGACCTAGTGTTAGCTCAACAGATTATGCCCTTCCTAAAAGGATTGGTTGGTCCTGGAGTTCTTTCCGCAGTTCAAGCACGTCAAACTCCCGCCAACCCCCATATTGCTATCACTATCCCCAAGGTGGGTAGAATTGTAGGTATTGATGCTTTCTTCCTTCTTTTGTTGGGTCATGTGATGACTGGTAATGAACACAGAATGTTGACCAAGTTTCTGAAAATGAAGCCTCCGGTATTCCATGGTTCTGAGAGTGAGGACTAATATGAGTTCATCTTAGAATGTTATGAGAAGCTGCATAAGTTAGGTATTGTCCATCAACATGGAGTAGAGTTTGTGACTTTCCAGCTTCAAGGTGAGGCTAAGTAGTAGTGGAGAGCTTATGTGGAATGCAGAACGTCAAATTTACCCCCACTCACTTAGACCCAGTTTCATGCTCTGTTCTTGGAGAAGTATTTACCCCGGACCTTGAGAGATCGTAAGAAGGATGAGTTCATGGCTTTGGAAAAATGTGGTATGTCTGAGGCTGCGTATGAGGCTAAGTTCCATGCTTTGTCTAGATATGCTACGCAATTGGTGACTACTGGGGAAGAGAGGATCCGTCTATTCGTTAAGGGACTGAATTCTGAGTTACAAGTATTGTATGTGCACATGACTTCAGTAGGAAAAAGTTTTAATGACGTAACGGATTTTGTGAAGAAAGTGGAAGAAGTGAGGCGAGATGGGCAGGTTAAGGCGTTGGCTAAGAAAGATAAGAGCACAGGTAACTTTCAAGGTTCCTACTCTAGAGGTTTAGGGAGACCGACACTTGCAGCCCGATCAATTCAGTCCGTTATGCCCGCTTCTACAAGTAACTATTCGGGAACTCCACCTCAGAATTTGATTCAGGATAGCCGGGGAGCCGCACCTTCGGTGGGCAGCAGACCATCCTTTGATTGAACTTGTTATAATTGTCGAGAACCTGGGCATATGAGGAGAGATTGTCCCTACCCACGAATGTTGGACCCCGCACAACAACAGACTAGAGAAGTGGTACCCGTGGGAAATGGTAATAATGGTTGAGGACGTCCACAAGGTGGGAGAGAAGGAAATCAGCGAG